TCACGTTTATATTTCATAGCAGTGATAGAAAAAGGGGCCATCTAGTAAGTAACACAGGCTTATGCTTGTCCTATAACGGGTGATCAACTTGTCCCAGTTTTCATGGCAATCTCCACATTTTAGCACTGAAAGTGAGAGGAAATCCCTTTATCCTAGTTTTAAAAGAGAAATTTTGCCTCTTGTAAGCTTCCTCAGTCCTGGGCAAACTTTAAGGATTTCTCATCCTGCCTGTAACCCTCCTTATACACCTGCTCTTCGATAGACCCTCAGCTGGGCAGGAAGCATGCTCTCATGTCATCCTTTACTCACAGAGAAGATGGTGCAGACGGGGCCAAGGAAGGTCCATATAAATCCATTTTGGGTGCTGAGCCAGCATCTAAAAGAGAGATGGAAAGAGACTGAAGAATCTATTTGCCTTTGTGGATAAAGACTTGGTAGACCTATCCTTCACCACCCATAGTTTCTTCCTCCTCCTATTGCTAATATTGTTTCTTTTTGATAAGAACCTTTACGCTTAGATCTATCCTCTTACTAAATTTTAAGTATACAATACAATATTGTTAATTATTCCCTATACTCTAATAGATCTTATCTTATTACTCTTTTATAACTGAAACTTTGTGTATGCCCTTGATGGTGGTGCTGGATCTGGTTCTATACTTAAGTTCAAACTCATCAGGTTACATACCTTCACTATGTAGAGCATTGTATAAATCAATCATGCCATAATAATGTGGTTTTTAAAAAGATAAATTAGTTTAAAAAATGTCTGTCAGGTATGCTGGCAGAAGAAAAATAATACATTTTTAAATGAAAAGATAAATATCAATAAGTAAATTAAGTTATGGTTTATTGGACAAATATTGTGTTGCCTCTGTATCAGGACCTCTGCTTGACCTGAGACCCAACTGCAGTGGAGGTAGTCTGGTCTCAATCCTCAGGGAAGGTCACTAATTAGACCAGGGGTCCTCAAACTTTTTAAACAGGGGGCCAGTTCACTGTCCTAAGTTATGGTTTATTGGACAAATACTGTGTCTCCTCTCTGTCAGGACCTCTGCTTGACCTGAAGACCCAACTGCAATGGAGGTAGTCTGGTCTCAGTCCTTAGGGAAGGTCACTAATTAGACAATAGAAACAATCAAGATGATGAGTTTTATGGTCAAGTGTGAGGAGCCATGAAAACACATAGTAGACAGTTTGCCTAGTCGGTGGTATAGGAGATTCAGGTAGTTGGGAAGGGTTCCCTGAGGGAACTGATTGTGTTTATTCCAAGATATGAATGGATGAGCAGGGATGAGTTTTATGGTCAAGTGTGAGGAGCTATGAGAACACATAGTAGACAGCTTGCCTAGTCGTTGGTATAGGAGATTCAGGTAGCTGGGAAGGGTTCCCTGAGGGAACTGATTGTGTTTATTCCGAGATATGAATGGATGAGCAGGTGTATAGAAGGTGAAAAAATTGGGGACTTGCAAGATGATAGTAAAAAAAGATGATGACAGTAACCTGATAACAGTACTAAGGTAGGGCTCATGTGCATTACATAATTTATTCCTCATGACAACACTGAGACTCCAGTGACCACAGGTTGGCATCTAATGCTTAAGGAAACATAGCACATCAAGGCCACACTGATAGAAATGATAGAACTGGAAATGGCCCATGTGAGATACTTGTGAATGAGTTGGGAGGTGTGAGTACCATGAAATTAGCTGGACCCACCAGAAGGCTCAAAGCCAACTCTACTAAGACAATGCTGGTAAACTGCACCCTGTGGGTCAAATGGGGTGGCCACTTGATTTTGTAAATGTGCTTTACGGGAACAAAATTGCACTCATTCTCTTGCATATTGTCTATGGCAGCTCTTGTGCTACAAGGACAGAGGTGAGTCATTGCAACAGAGAGTACATGGTCCACAAAGTTGCAGCCCTTTACAGTTTGCTGACTTTTATGCAAGCTATATAGGAAGGCCATCTGACCAGGGCTACTCCGATGTTGGTGAACATTAATTATTTCAACATAGTATGTTGTAAATGCCAGATGGTCTCTATTTGATCCCAGTTCTGCCACCAACCATCTGTGTGATTTGGACCATGTCAGAAATCTCTGTACCTCAATTTCCTCACCTGCAAAACTCATATAATACCATTCTACCTCAGCGGGTTGTTGGGAGGATGACTTGAGCTGATACATGAAAAATATTTGGAATATAGATTTCATGTCCAAAATGATTTCTAAATCTTAGCTCTGGTTATCACAATTTCATCATCTAAATAATCCTCCCTCCCCATTTTTTTCTCTTCCTCTTTTTTTTTTAATTAAGGAGAGAAGTAGGTTACACCAACCAATGCCATCCCTTCATTTTCATTTTGCTTCCTAGGATATTTAAAACAGTCCCCTCAATTAATGCAATGAGTATTATATTAATATACATTTACTGGTTAAATTTATGTACAATAGTTTTAAATGTAACATAATCTTTAATATAATTATAATTAATATTTAAAACAATTAAATTGAAAAGATAAAAATCAGCATATTTATTTTAACCATGTATTAATTTATGATTGTTAATGTTTCTTTATTATAAAAGTATAGGTAATGAATGTAATGCACAATCTATACTAAAAAGAGGGTAATATGCTAATTAGACCGGGAGACCTTCCGGACATCTTTCTGGACAAAGCCATGGTGGTGGGGCCAAGGCAGAGGCAGTCAGAGGCAATCATGCCAGGAAGGAAGGGGAGTTGGGGGTGATCAGGCTGGCAGTGGGAGGCAGTTGGGGCAATCAGGCCAGCAGGGGGGGCAGTTGGGGGTGAAGAGTCCAGTAGCAGAGTGGTTAGGGATGTTCAGGCAGACAGGCAGGTGAGCGGTTAGGAGCCAGGATCCCCGGATTGTGAGAGGGATGTCCGACTGCTGGTTTAGGATCAGGCCTAAAATGGCAGTCAGACATACCCCAAGCATACCAGATTGGAGAGGGTGCAGGCTGGGCTTAGGGACACCGCCCCCCCTCACCCCCATGCACAAATTTTGTGCACAGGACCACTAGTTAATATTATATAAACATATAATTATTAACATACTATATAATTAACATTTGAAACAATGACATTTTAAGTTCCTAATAACAGTCGCTTCAAGGAATATAATCATGGAACCAGGAATATGTCTTTGGGTCATTATTACTGTTTTCCTATACCCATCATATTCTAGTGAAATTAAAGTGCTACATTGGCTCTCTGCTGACCCTGTGGAGAAGATGAGGACAGTGGGAACTTTAATTTACCGGGTAGGTGTTCCATAAAGGTGAGGCCTGGATGCTGCAGAAATGGCCACAATCACAGCTGGGACTCCGTAGCCCACAGGGAGCATGACCTTCCTCATGAACCTGCTCACACTGGAGTAGTTGACCACCGTCAGGTTGCGCGCGGTGAGGAAGAGGTGCAGGCCCTCCAGCAGCATCCAGGTGAAGGAAGCCAGGTAGAGGTAGTGTAAGGCACCTGCGATTATGGCGCACAGCACCTGGGGGAGGGGTGAGTCACCAGGTGGGATTGTCAGGGTGGAGCATGGACCCGGGACCTCTCCTATACCTTGGCATTTGGGAGAACTCTGCTGTATATGAAGGAATTGTCAAAAGAAGGTGTGATTTCTAGTTGGGTCAATCAGTGTAACATTGGCTACTTACCCCTCTAACCTTCCCCAAACCCAAAGTCATTTTATTACGGTGTCCAATGCAAGTGTCCTCCTCCTTCCATGGTCAGGGCATGCAGCGTTTGGGACAGTGTCAGTACCTTAGGCTCAGTTCTGTCGATGGCTGTGAGGAAGAGCAGGTGGGCCAGGAAGAGGCAGATTGAGAGCTGCAGGTGGAGTGAGAACCCAGCAAAGAGGAGATGTCAGTTATACTTTCCTGGGCTGGGTTAATGACTCTTCCACCATATTTAGTTTTATTTTTCGGTGTAACAAAATCAGGAATGGAGGAGCCACCTAAATTTGTGATGTTGGTGGGTAATCTAGAGTTTTATGGGTTCTAAATGGATTAATTCAGACCCTGGAAAAATTGAGGTGTACAAGAGACCTTACTCAAGATCAAGTCCTGGAATTCAAAGAGTTGATTTATTTTAAAATATTTTTGCCCTAGTCAGTTTGGCTCAGTGGAAAGAGCATTGGCCTGTGGACTGAAGGGTCCCAGGTTTGATTCTGGTCAAGGGCACGTACCTCAGTGGCAGGCTCGATTCCTACCGCTGGTCGGATGTGCAAAGGCAGCCAGTCAATGTGTCTCTCTCACATAGATGTTTCTTTCTCTCTCTCCCTTCCACTCTTTCTTAAAATGGAAAAATAGCTTCAGGTGAGGATTAACAACAACAAAAAATGAATGTCACTGAAAAAAAATTTCCTAGCTGGTGTGGCTCAGTGGTTGAGTGTTGACCTATGAACCAGGAGATCACAGTTCGATTCCCAGTCAGGGCTCATGTCCGGGTTGTGGGCTCAATCCCCTGTAGGGAGGTGTGCAGGAGGCAGGTGATTGATTCTCTCTCATCATTGATGTTTCTATCTCCCGCTCCTTTCCTCTCTGAAATCAATAAAAACATAAAAATAAAGTATATTTATTGATTTTTAGAGAGAGAGGAAGGGAGTGGGTGATAAAGAGAGAAACATTGATATGAGAGGAAACATCAGTTGCCTCTTGCACAACCCCATGGAAATAGAGCCTGCATCCCAGGCATGTGCCCTGATTGGGAATTCAACCAGCAACCTTTTGGTGCACTGGACAACACCCAACCAACTGACCCACACGGGCCAGGCATAGGGTTTATTTTTCTTTAGACTTTTGGGCATGACTAAGCTTATAGATGATCATGTGAAAAGAAGGAAGTGTGTGTAAACAATTGCAACATTATTTATTAGAAAATGATCAAAAGAAAACCCCCAAGAGGGGGTCTTGATGTGTAATTTACAAAGCATTCACAAAATGAAATGCTTTGTGGCAATAAAAATAATGAAGTGTCTCTTTGTAGGCTGGAATAGAAAATTCTCTTAGATGCAATAAATAAAACACAATTTGCACAACAGTGAAAACCACACACACTCCACCAAGTCTTTGAGAAGAGAAAAACCAAAGAACCAATACATGCATTATTTTTATACAGGGTGAGGCAAAATTAGGTTTACAGCTGTGAGTATGTGAAAAACAGAGTTTATTCTTGTACTATTCTTTGCTAACTATTGTATTATTTTCCATACAAACAACTGTAGACCTACTTTTGCCCATGACCCTATATGTATAAAATATTCAAAGAAAAATGCAGGAGAAACTAACAACTTTAACTGGTTGCCGCAAGAGGAACTAAGTGTTTGGGTTCTCTCTCATTCTGTTTGAATTTGAAATGTAAATATTTTAAGTCTTCAATAAATGTAAAACAGTATGTAAATAAAAGTATGAATATCGTGAGACCTAGCGACGTGGCCGGAGGAAACATGGTCTTGGAGTGTTGTTCACACTTCTGGAGGCTTCTATGAGATCTGGCCACTTGGCTATTATCATTTTCATGTGGGTGCCACATTTATTTCAGTCAATGCCCCATTACCTGAAGTTACCTGAGAAAGTTTCTGGTTTTGGTAAACCAGAGAAGTAACCAGGTCAACTGGACAGGAGAGGAGGCACACATGGCTACTGACTCACCTGTACTCACTGGATCCCCCAGTACCTCTGAACTTTGTCATCACCAAATCTTCCTTTCTGAAGCCCCTGATAACCCCTGTCCTGAAAACCACCCATGGTGGTAGAATTTTAATTTGGCAATCATAACCCCACCAGCATGTGTACATATAAATGCCTCCAGGTTTTCAGTCAAATGCCATCTAGGTGCTCCTGTGAAGGCATTTTGCAGGTCCACAATCAACTAACTTAAAAGAGAGGGATTTATCATGTGTGGGCCAGATCTAATCAAATGAGCCCTTACCTGATTCAAAGTTTGAGAGTGCTTTAATGTGAGGGCAATTCTCCTGCTGGCTTCCAGTGAGCAATACTGATACCCTGTGAGTAGTCTTGGGAGGGGTACACAAGAAAGAATGCAGGGAGCCCCTTGTGGTGCCCACAGGACAGTGATGGCGAACCTATGACATGCGTGTCAGAGGTGACACGCAAACTCATTTTTTTTTGGTTGATATTTCTTTGTTAAATGGCATTTAAATATATAAGATAAATATCAAAAATATAAATCTTTGTTTTACTATGGTTGCAAATATCAAAAAATTTCTATATGTGACATGGCACCAGAGCTAAGTTAGGGTTTTTCAAAATGCTGACACGCCGAGCTCAAAAGGTTCGCCATCACTGCCCAAGAGCTGCGTGTGCTCCTCTACTGCTAGCAGGTAAGAAAATGAGAAATCAGTCCTACAACTGCAAGGAACTGAATTCTGCCAGCAACCAGGGAGCTTAGAGAACTGCACAACTCAGATGAGATTACAGGCTTGGCCGACATGATCATTTTAGTCTTGTCAGACACTGAGTAGACAACCCAGGTATGCTGTGCCAGATTGTTGACCTGAGGATTCTGCAGGATAATGCATCCGTGTGTGTCTTTTTAAAGACACTACATTTGTGGGAATTTATTACATAGCAATGGGTAGTAAATTCATCCACTTTTAGGGCTCTCACCTGCACATCATAGTGGGCCATGAGGACGGCAAAGCTGCTGAGGTGGCTGCATTGGCAGGTGGTGCTGGTGTCTATAGTACCCACCCTCCAGCAGCCTTTGGTGGACCAATGACCACTTCCATTCTGGCCAGGCTCCCAGAAGACACAGAACACCTTCTGCTTTGGCCTTGGGGTCACTGTCTGTAGGAACAGGGCAAGGTGTGAGCTAGTGTTTCTGGTGATCAGAAATGCTGACCCAAATCCTGCTTGTGATGGGCTTTCCGGGGGAGGTCATTCACCCATGGGAGAGCCCCCGGAACCTGAAGTCTATTCCCAGCAATCAGGCTCATTTTATATCTATAACCCCACCCCACCAGGACTCACATGCTTGAAGATGAAGGTGACTGGGGAGCTTAGGTTCTGGGTGTTATTATCGTTCACAAAGACGGAGATGACATCTGAGAGCAGGACAGGGGAGACTTCCTGCAACATGCCCTTGTGTGTCTCATTCAGAACTGACTGCTCCTCAGTTTCTAGAACTAGGGGGGCTTTAGCCATAAACTTGCCCATTCCTGGTGTGGAGAAAAGACCCACTGTAGACGGACCTGTAGGAAAAGACCATGGTTGACATCTTGTGGTGCCCACAGGACTTCTTCTTCAGGTAGACTCTTCTTGTGGTCCCCACAATAGCCCACACTTTCCTTTAAACTTTAATTCTCCATTTGTCCCACCCTTGGGTGTCTTGTCCCACTGTGAAACCTCAGTGAACTTCTCCCCATCTCAGCCTTACCTGAGTCACCAGATTCCTGTACTGTATCCCAGTCCAGCACCATCTTTGCCTGATTAACACTCAAGGTGGCCTTCCTGTCTCCTTGCTTCTTTATCTTCAGAGACAGTTCTATGAATTGTGGGAGTTACATTGTAGGGTTGTTAGATTAGTAATTGAACCTGCAATGATTGCTATAATACCCTGTTATATATAATTAATATATTATATAAATGTATTATATATTTATATATTATATAATATATATTATCTATATAATGAACGTCTAAGCTACCGGACATCCAGATGACCAAATGACTGGTTGACTGGTCACTGTGATGTGCACTAACAAACAGGGGGCAGATGCTCATTGCAGGTCAGTGCGCTCCCACAACGGGAGTGGCAAAGTCTACCAGCCATTTATAGAAAAATTCACCCTAATTCTTTGTAAAATTCTCCATAAAATAGAAGAGGAAGGAAGATTATGTAAATAATTCTATGAGGCCACCATCATCCTGAAAACAAAATAAGATAAAGACATCACAAGAAAATAAAACTGCAGACCAATATCTAATTTACATAAATGTAAAATTATTCAACAAAGTATTAGGAATAATCTTATATAATAAAAGGCTAATATGTAAATTGACTGAATTGCAAAATAACTGGTCGCTATGATGTGTACTGACCACCATGGGGCAGACGCTCAATGCAGAAGCTGGGCTCAAGCTGGAGAGCGCAGTGGCGGTGGTGGGAAAGGCCAACGCAGTAGTGCTAAGGATGTCGGACACCCCCAGAGGGCTCCTGGACTGTGAGAAGGCACAGGCTGGGCTGAGGGACACCCCCACCAAGTGCACAAATTTCATGCACTAGGCCTCTAGTTTTATATAAGGAAGTTCAAAATATGTACACAGAAAAGTACAAATATTTTTGAAAAAAATTAAAAAACCTAAACAAATGGAAAGACATCCCATATTAATGGATTGGAAGACTTAATATTGTTAAGATGGCAATGGTCCCCAAAATGATCTACAGATTCAATGCAATGCATGTCAATAGTGTAATATCATTTTACTTACTTATTTTTACAGAAATTCAAAAACTCATTTAAAAATTCATAGGGCATTGCCTCAAATACTCAAAACAATCTTAAAAATAAAAAACAAATCTGGAGAACTCACACTTCCTGCTTTAAAACTTACTGCTAACCTACAGTAATCAAAACAGTATGCCCTAGCCAGTTTGGATTAGTGGATAGATAGAGCATTGGCCTGCAGACTGAAGGGTTCCAGGCTGGATTCCGGTCAAGAGCACATGCCTGGTTTGCAGGCTTGATCTCTAGTGGGGGTGTGCAGGAGGCAGCCTACCAATGATTCTCTCTCATCATTGATGTTTCTATCTCTCTGTCCCTCTCTCTTTCTCTCTGAAATCAATACAAATATATATTTTAACAACAACAAAAAAACCAATTGAGCACAAACAGACAAAAACACACACAACAATATGGTACTGAGTTCTGGTCAAAATGACAAGGTTGGTAACACTGTGCTCATCTACTCCCATGACCACATCAAAATAATTTCTAAATTATAGAACAATCAACTTGGAGAACCATTGGAAGACTAGCTGTAGAGAGGTCCTATAACTAAGGATATAAAGAAGAAGCTACATAGAGATTGGTAGGGGGGCAGAGGCGAGCTGGTTCAGTCATCAAGTGCAGCAGTTGAGCATTGAGAGAGATATCTTAGCTGCAGAGGTCCCTTCTTGAAAGTGAGGAGTCCCAGCTCCACACTGAGCTCCCAAGCCCAGAGTACCAGTGCTGGGAAAGGAGACCCCACAACTCACAGCTGTGAAAATCAGTAGGGATACTCTCCACCCAGGTGAGATGAAAGGCTGTTGGAAACCCAGGTGTCCTCTTTAAAGGGTCTGCACACATGTTTGCAGGCACTCACGCTGGGCTCTGGGCAGAGGGAGAGCGGTGCAGGGGGCACACATCTAGGGAGAAACTGAGTTGTGTGGCTTCAGGGTGAGGGGTGGAGGGGCAGCTGCCATTGTCCTTGTGTTGGATCCTTCCATACAGCTGCCAAGGAGGCACAATGTTTTCTGTGTTGAGCCCTTCCCCCACGTGGCTAAATCTGAATCTGCATCGGCCTGGTGAATATCCCCAGTCCCACCTGGATGAGTTCGACCCACCTGGATGAGTCCTGGAGACTCCACCCCACCCTGCTGGTGGCTCCTCTGAGTCAGGCAGCCAGCCTTGACACATGCTGCAGTCCTTAAAGACTCTCTTATCGTTTTTCTTGAAATTTTAATTGCATATAAATGGATAATTACCTTGTATCTACATTCTGGTAATAGATTTATTTTGTATATTGTACAAATAAAAAATAAATAAAATGTATTTAAAAGAATTTTAAAAAAAGGTAGAGAGGCACACTATGCTCATGGATTGTAATATTCAACATAATAAAGATGTCAATTCTCTCCCCCCCACCCCCAAACAAACAAACAAACTAACAAACAAAAACAAATACCTTAGGCCTCAGAAGGTGGGGGCAGGGTGTTGGGATAGGGTAGCTGCCGTGACCAAATAGTAACAACAACAATTAGAGCAATAAAGGTAGAACAATTAGAGCAATAAAGGTACAATAAAGGAATCATGTGATTGATTCATGAGGGACTTTAAATGATGAAACACCAGAGAAATAATACTAACAAAGGAATTTAGGAATGATCAAGGCTTTGATATTCAGAAGGAAGAGAATGAATGAGAGAAAATTCCCTCTCCCAGCCGCTTATGTGCTGGGACCTGGTTTACTGGTAACTCCCCGGTGCAGGTTCATCCCTGCTCTGGTCAGGGCATATTTGGGAGGCAACCAATCGATGCGTGTCTCTCACATTGATGTTTCTCTCTCTCTTCCCCTTCCTCCCTCCCTCCTTTCACTCTCTTTAAAAAGCAGTGGGTGGGGGTTAATGGGAAATGAAGACACATTTGTAATACTTTAACCAATAAAGAAATTAAAAAAAAAAGCAATGGGAAAAAAATCCTTCGGTGAGGATTAACAAAAGAACAACAACTCTCCTATCCCTCCCACAAAAACACAATGACACAAAATCTATAAGAAAAATCTCAAATATACAATTTAACCTTACACCTAAAGGAAATAGTAAAAAAAAATTAAACAAAGCCCAAAGTAAATAGAAGGAAGAAAATAATAAAAGTTAGAGTAGAAATAAGTGAAATGGAATCTAAAAAACAAACAAACAAAAACCAAAAATTAATACAAAGGTCAATGAAGCCAAGGGCTGTTTTTTTTTCTTCAAAGAGAAACAAAATTGAAAAACTTTAACCAGACTCATCAAGAAAAAAAGAGAGAGAACCCAAATAAATAAAATCAGAAGTGAAAGAAAAGTAGTAACAACTAACACCACAGAAATATAAGACATTATAAGAAAATAGTGCAAAGAATTACATGCCAACAAATTGGACAATCTACAAGAATGGATAAATTCCTAGAAACATATAATTTTCCAAGACTAACTCAAGAATAAACAGAAAATCTGAACACATTGATGACTACTAATGAAATTGAAGCAGTAATAAAAAAGAAACTTCCAACAAACAAAAGTTCTAGATTGGATGACTTTACAGGTTAATTTTTCCACACTCAAATAAGAATTAACACCTATCATTCTCAAACTATTCTAGAAAATTTAATAAGAGGGAAGTCTTTCAGGCTCATTTTATGAGGCCACCATTACCCTAATTAAAAAGATACTCTAAAAATAATTATAGGCTAATATTTCTCATGAACATAGATGCAAACATCCTCAAAAAAACATGAACAAACTGAATTAAGCAATACATTAAAAAGATTATACACCATGCTTAACTGTGGTTTATTCCTGGTATGCAAGGTTGGTTCAATATCTGCAAATCAATTAATGTGGTACACCACAAACAAAATGAAGGCTAAAAATCATATGATCATATCCATAGATTTTAAAAAAAGCATTTGACAAAATCCAGCATCCATTTATGATTAAAATTCTCAGCAAAGTGAGAATAGAGGGAACGTACCTCTACTTAATAAAGGCCAGATATGACAAGCTCACAGTTATCATTATACTCAATGGGAAAAGGCTAAAAGTACTTTCCTGAGGATCAGGAACCAGACAAGGATGCACACTTTCACCACATTTAAAAAAAAAGCATTTGACAAAATCTAGCATCCATATATGATTAAAATTCTCAGCAAAGTGAGAATAGAGGGAACGTACCTCTACTTAATAAAGGCCAGATATGACAAGCTCACAGTTATCATTATACTCAATGGGAAAAGGCTAAAAGTACTTTCCTGAGGATCAGGAACCAGACAAGGATGCACACTTTCACCACATTTTACCCAACGTAGTATTGGAAGTCTTTGCCACAGCAATCAGGGAATAAAAAGAAATAAAAAGCACCCAAACTGCAAAAAAGTAAAACTTATTATTTGTAGATGGCATTATACTACGTAGAAAGAACCCTAAAAATTCCATCAAGACCCTACTAGAACTAATAAATAAATTCAGTAAAATAGCAGGATGCAAAATTAATAATGAGAATTCAGTTGCATTTTTACATACCAGTAATGAACTGCTAGAAAGGGAAACAAAAAAATCAATCCCATTTAAATTGCATAAAAATATGCGTAGGAATAAATTTAACTAAGGAGGTAAAACACCTGTACTCAGAAAATTACAAAGGCTTCCCCTCAGAGATCTGAAAAACCAGAGCAATTCAGGAGAACGAAAAAACTTGTGATTCAGCACCTCCTATTGGAAAACGGTTGAGAGAATTAAGCAAACAGAACACTTAATTATCCCAATTCAAAAAGGCCTTTTCCAAAGCACATTGTATTAAAACTGTCAAAAATTAGTGACAGGAGATTAGATGCATTAAAAAAAGAGAAAAGACTGCTGTATATATGAACATTTCTTTTATGTAAACTTAATGGCAACTACATATAAAAACCCAAAACCGAGACACATAACTTATAAGAAAGAGGAAACAGAGGAAAAAATTATGAAATACCACCAAACAGAAACAACAGACAGAAACACAAGGAAAAAACA